GGCTGAGGCAAGAGGATTGCAGAAAACTCAAGGTCAGCCTGGACTACGTAGAGAGTCCGAGACCAGCCTGAACTGCACAGTAAGACTCTTACCTCAAAAACAAAAAGAAACTGAGATTGTATCTTTTTCTGTTTCCTGATGCGTCCCCAGCAATTATCACAGTCCTTGCCACATACTAAGTATTCAATAAAAATGGCAAATTAATGAATTGCCTAATTTATAAAAACATTTACCAGCTGTGATAGAAATACATATAGTGAATGCCTAAATTTTAAAAATATATTGCACTAAAAGGTACATCACCATTAATCTTCCTCAAAACACTCCTCTTCCTTTTGAATACATTCATCCCATCTCTCGTCGCTTTCCGGGGCAGCTCTGGGAAGCCTCTTTCCTGGGCGTGCTTCCTTGCACTGGTGTGCACGCCGTGATGGCCCGGATCAATTGAAAGTATTCACACTTCATAGTCACTCTGACTTTGGAGAAGAGCTAGAAGTCGTACAGTGCCAGAGCTGGTAAATAAGGAAGAAAAGGACACGCTGTAACATTTTAACTTGATAGAGCCTTTAATTTGACAGCAATTGCTGTAAATGTTTTTTTTAATTAATCCAGGACGTTGGGAAGGCCATGAAAACACAAGAAAGAGGACTTACAGATCCGCTTCAGAAATAGCAAAAATGTTGAGATAGATGTGTCGTGGTGAAAGACGGTATTCTGAGAGGGATTAATGACAACGCATCTTTTACTATATATACTTTTTTTAATTTAAACATTGGCTCTTTTTTAACGGACCTTGTAAATATTCTCTTTCCATGGAGAATCTGAGACCTACTGCCTAATCTGAGCCAGAGAAGGGAGGTACAAGCTCATTTAAAAGACCATAAAAATTGTCTTACCAGTTGATTTAAATGCTTAGTCAGGGAGGTGCTCGCTGGCGCGGTCATTCCAGCCAGCAGTGGCCATGAGCGCTGAGGTTCATTTAGGGAGGGCCGACGGATGCCGAGGTCGGCGGAACCCTTCCCGTTCTCCCACTGGCCCCTGCGCCAATGCGCCAAGGTTCTTCTCGCTGAGAGCCGGCCAAACAGCTATGCAGGCTCTGGGAGTTCAATCCCCGGGCCTGCCGCCCCCAGGGCGCACTGAGGCAGCAACTGAGAGTGGGTGTGGTGGCGCGCACCTGTAATCCCAGCACTTGGGAGGCTGTAAAGAAGCAGATCACTATGAGTCCGATCTACACAGGGAGATCCTGTCCTAAAAGAGAGAGGGGAGGGAGGAGAGAAGAGAGAGGGCTACAAGGCAGGGTGCCATGGCATAGGGGCAATAAACAGTTCCAGGCAGCAGGCGGCAGCAAAAACAAGAGCAAAGGGGGAGAAGCAAGCCTCTTTTACTACTGTAAGCTGGCTACCCCCACCCATATCATTGTCCTGCCCTCCTCTTGCACAGGCTTCAGATGTTTGCAAAATAAGGACCCTGGCCCTCTGTGGTCACTTAGTTAATGAACCTTCCAAACTTTTGTATCTGTATATACAAAATAGTTAGGATAGATATACAGCTACTTTCTCTTAATTCAATGAGAAGAAAGATTTGTACTAATAGTGTTTGGACAGGATATCATGTCAGCATCTTGTACTATGGATAACCACTAAGAAGATAACAACATGCAATGTATTACTGAAACTCTCCTACTAATCAGTTTTGAAACTGTCTCATGGCTATTTGTTTCTCAATAAAATTACTTTTTAGAAAGAGATATTGAAAGACAAACTTATGGTTGACAATGTATTAACCATAACACCCCATCCTAAGGTCAAGCTAGTCCTTTTCTCTGAACTGTAATCGTAGAGGCCAGAGTGTTAAGTTTCGCAAGGTCTTCCCGTGTTTTCCCTGCTTGGCTGCATCCCACAAATGAGGAGATCACTTCCTGTTCATGACCTCTGCTTCCGGCTGCTGTCGTCTTCCCGTGGGCGGCAGTAGCAGGGGCAGCTGGGGAGAGAACTGTACACAGGAGGAGAAAACAACAGAGACTCGGAAGGACAGAGACAAAGAAAGACCGCAGAACAACAGAAAAGGGAATAGGAGAAAGAGACGGGGGGGAGGGGGTGGTAAACTAGTTAGACGATGTCATAGAACAGATTTCTGAAAGAAAGCAGAAATGGTAAAAGATACAAAAGATTTGGAGCGAAGAGATATCTGTGCTCACAGTACGGACACCAACCACACAAAATAGGCATTTGGATGAAGACGAATCAGCAGCTCATGTTCCTTGGGTGGCTGTGTGTGTTGCTTTTTTCGTTAAATCCACCAGCATCACCCTTGCTGAGTCTGCTGTCCTTGTCCTTAATAGTAAAGGGACAGAAGCAGTGTCGGATATGGAGAGGAGCCGTCCCCACAGAAGCCATGACAGGCTTCCTCCTGTGAGTTCCTCGCACTCTGTGGGTGCTCCGCACCTCAAAGTCCCACCTGTATTCTGGATAATGAGGAAAATTATTGACCCATCCTGGTGCTATCATTTTTTCCCACTCCTGCCTTGAGCTTTCATTAGTTTTCATTTCTCATTAAGAGTACAGTCGAAGAGTGAGAATTAAACACCTCCTGATTTATTATCCTCCTGAAAATGGGAAGTTAGGAGCCATGGGGTGGATCTGCATTGAAGGCCCGATGGATGAGTGAGCCACCCAGGGATCTAAGAGCGTGCAAGGCTGCTCTCCTGTTGGCCGGAGGACAACAGCAGCAACAGAGTGGCCAAAACACTTGGGAAACAATGCTGTAAAACAAGGAACCTTTCCAATCAAGGACAATAGCCCTCAGTCATATGGTTCCCCCCTTTCAAGCTCTGCACTAACTTTTCCATGTTAGTCCCAGCATCAGTTATATATCTACCCCCCAGAGATGCTGCTCCTGGTGTACACAGGTGGGGTCCAGCTTATCCATTGCTCCTCTATCAAGTGGCAGGCACATGCCCGGTCCTCATACGTGAACAGTGTAGGAGAAAAAATTAATGCATGCATGCAGAGATAGGCTGGCTACCTTTGATTCATATGGCTGCATGCACTTTTAACAATGCTTTGGTTCACTACCAAGAAAAGATGAGGACAGTATATTGAATTTCTTTTAAAAAGGAAACAAAACTCCCAAATGAAGGAGCACTTCCAAATAGGTGTGCACCCCAAAGAACTGAACACAGGAACTTGAACTGGTGTACACACCAATGTTCATAGCAGCTTTACTTACGTTAACCAAAGGAAGAAACAATCTAAGTATCCATCAATGGATGAACAAAACATGGTATGTCTCTACGAAGGGATATTATGCAGCCTAAAAAAGGAAAGATGTTCTGATAGGTGTTACAACATACACGAATCCTGGGGACATTGTGCTAAGTGAAATAAGTAAGACACAAAGGAAAAACATGCCCTGACTTACATAAAACAGTCAAATCATGGACACAGAAAGGAACATATGTTAATCGCAAGCTGGCAGCCAGAAGAAGGATGACAGAGTACCAATTTGGGGTGATGGGGAAGTTCCAGAGATGGATGGTGGTGATGGTTATACAGAAATATGGATGTGCTTGCTGTGTTAATATTTCTGGCTCACTCACAACATCAACACTGCCCATGCAACCTGTTACTAATTCTATTTGACAGAGAGAGGGAGAGAGAGAGAGAGAGAGAGAGAGAGAGAGAGAGAGAGAGAGAGAGAGAGAACGCGTGACCATGGTCATGCAGTTTCAGGAGGGTCAGGTCGTGTGCCCACCTAGGCCATGACTGCACTCCAAGATGCATACCTGTCCCCACACTTCCATGTCTGGAGGTCATCAGAGGACCTTCCTATGAACAAGGGCAACTTCTCCAAAGCTCACCTAGTGAGGAGTGCCACCCAGCAGGAAACTGCTTGCTTCTTGCCAGCAGAGCTCCTGCCAGGTATAAAAAGGTGCTGCCCACTTGGCTTCGTGCCTCCTAAGGTCTCTCCAGAAGCCAGAATTCAGCAATTTGGATATAAGGCCCTGGTGTGAATTGCAGTTGTGTGGCTGTGTGCAGGTCCCTTGAGCAAGCCTTGCTTTTCTTACCTAGAGAATGAGAATACTACGGTCCCTACCTGACAGTAGTACTGCAGCTTAAATGAGCTAATAGTTGTTGAATAGTATGTGGCATAAAATAGATGTTCATTGACTGTTATATGTATGAGATATATGTTACCATTGTAGAGCTGTAGGAGGCAAGCTACTCATGGCATGGTGGACAGGAGGCGGAGACAGAGGGGAGGAGCAGGAAAGGGAGATAACCCCCATAACCTACCCCCCTTGGACCAGGTCCCACAGCCCAAGAGCACAGCTAGCCATGAGCTCATCCATGGATAAATCCATTGTGAACCTGCCTCCCCATGATGCACTCCACCCCCAAAAGCCCCATCTTGGGGCACATGGAGGCTTTGGGGACACACGCAGATCTGAACATCACAAGTTGGCATGAGGGGTTGGTGGAAGGTGCCATTCATCTCAGTGCAGGAGTAGAGACCTACCAGCCCTGCAGCTGAGCTTCACATCAGCTGGCAGGTCTGAAGGAGCCCAGCAGTGAGCACGAATCTGGAGAGGAGATGAAAGGAGCTGTCCGGGGACATGTGCAGTTCTCAAACCATCCCACTGTGCCTCTCATCCTTCAGCTTATCCCTTAGTATTTTGTTCAATTTAACTGTTTTGTGATAGAGTTACCAATTTTTCTCCCATGGACTAAAATGTTCACTCATTCATACCTAGCAAATGTCTTGAGACCTGTGGATCTGAAGGGCTTTTGGTTGGTGGTATAAGGCCAAGAGAAAACCCCTCAAGGAGAGTTCCAGGATAAAACACTCCAGAAATTCACCAGAAACAAATTATTTCCATCAACATGATGGTCTGGATGACCCTGACTGTGCAAAAATGCTTCTCCCATGAATCTATACCCTCATACTGCCAGTGTCAACTTGAACTTGCTAACTTAATTTTTTTAATCTTAAATATTCAGGTGCATCTTCCAGAAACCTGAAGAAGTTTATAGAAAGGTATGTGGCCAATGGATCTAAGGAACTGTTCTTAAAGTTTGTTCTTTATTTTTAAAAAGAGATGAAATGACCATTTGTCTTAGTTACTTTTCTTGCTGTTGAGGTAAAATACCTAACACCTACAGTTAAAGAAGGAAACGTTTATTTCAGCTCATAGTTTGTAAGGTTTCAGCTCATAGTTACCGGGCTCAAAGGCAGGGTGACATGGCAGAGGTGATGCAGTTCATGGCGGGCAGAGAGCAGAAAGCAGTGAAATAGAAATTGACAAGCAGCAACCTCTTTCTGCCCCTTATACCCTGTCTAGGCTATGCACCCTAAGGGTGGGTGCCAGTGACACCCAGGGTGGGACACCCTTAATCCTCACCTCACACCATGAATCAGTGCCAGCATCACACCCTTGATCCCAGCATCACACGTCCTAGTTCCAGCCACCTCCGAAAGGTCCCAGCTATGAATACTTCAGACTCTGAGGACCATCTAGACATAAGCCACAACACCCTTGTTCCCTATAATCATTTCTACAGAACATTGATAGCTATCTATTTATTTATTCATTTGTTACTGGGTCTCACTACATAGTTTAGATGCATAGGGATCCCCCGTCTCAGTCTCCCCAGCACTGGGAGATTAATTAGAGGGGTGTGCCAGCACACCTAGTTTCAGGGTTGTCACAGCATGCTCTGGGTACCACAGCTGGCACAGCATACAGTCCCGGGGATCAAATTTAGGCCCTTGAACTTTCCAGGCAGGTGCTCAGACCACCAAGTTGTCTCCTCAGTCCAACACTGATAGTTTTTTAATCACACTGTCTTGAAGCAAGTAATCTTTGTCGATGTCCTTGAAGAAGTATAAAACTATATATGATTTGAATAAAATTTAGATCTGGCAGAAGTTACTGGAAAACAAAAAAGATCACAGCATATTCTATCTTAATGAATAAGGCAACATTTCATGTGTATTTTGCATTTAAAACTGACAAATGTATGCACCTTGAGAGCATATGTTAAGTGGAATAAATCAGACACACAAGCTTAAATACCACATGATGCCTTTTACATGAGATACCAAAACATAAATAAAGAGCAAAACAAAAGATACATAATAAGAAGTAGGAAGCTAGATTTTGCTCAAATGAGAAAAGGGATGGTAGAGAAAGAGAGGGAAGGAAGGGAAAGGGGATGGAAAAAGAGCTAAGCCATGTTATACATGCACCAACTCCCCATGAGGAGTATAATTATTATTGTCTCAGTTATTTTTTACTTCTCGTTGGGACAAAATATCTGACACCCAAAATTAAGGAAAGAAAGGTTAATTTAGTTTACCGTCTATTTGGCTGACTCTACAGCACACTGGCACATGGCAGAGGGCAGCAGTTTATGGCGGCAGAAAACAGCAAAGAGCAGAAAGGAGAAGGAGCAGCTGTGACTTTCGGCAAGCCTCGCTCTCTTTTTTACATTGACTGTGGAGACTGGACCTCTTTTGAGAAAGTGGGATGCTCTATCTTTTTAAAAATTTTTATACCCTTTAAGAGACGAGTCACTCTAGGGTGGAGGCTCCACCCCAGGGTGTGGAATTGCTGAGCTGATCTAGCTACGCTTTTCACTTCTCAAATTGGCACAATGTATCAACCACTACAATTACATAATACAAGCATGTACAAATAAAAACTGAAAAACTTCAAAAGCGTGGTCGACTTCAGCAGTGCTCTGAATGAAAGAACTCAGGAAGGCCTTGTCTTTTTGAAGTTGACTGTGTGTCCGCAGCTGTTCTTATGTCCTATGAATCTGGACAGGAATAACCGAGGTAGCTCCCCAGTGCTTATTATTAACAGATGCTGTGAAAGATGGTAAGAGGGTGACAGGGTGCCTATGCACCTAGGACTTCAATTCACTGTGTTCAGCTTTTTGTGTTTATGTGGGATTTCGCTGATTGGGACGTGAGTTAGACATTACAGAAAAGTGACTCGGAACAGTAATTAGTTATACCAGAATGCAAGAAAAATACAGAAATGTTTTCCAGGAGGATGGCCATACAGACCAATTCCCTGGCCTAGGCTGTGCTTTTGGTTATAAAACTAGTTTTCCAAGTGTCTGACATTCAGAGTCTATCTGTGGCTTCTTCTTAGCATGTCTAGGAACCAGCTGTTGGACCATCCAGCCCTCGTCATATACGCCATGATTGGAAATGATGTCTGCAATGGGTGAGTCACTGAGAAAGAGTTCCAACGTTCTTCAGCTCTCAGCGCCCCCCTCTTCTCCACCCCACTCAATGCCAACCCTACTCCATTCTCATGGCCTACTGTTGAGCGAATCTCCTTACCTTAAGCAACCCCCACATTTTCCTCTGTGAAATGAACAAAAATAACCTGTGACACTAAAAGTCCTGTGTCTGGCCCATTTTTTCCCAATTCTGACATCACCAAGAGTAAATATGTCAGGATCAACCATTGGTTATATCACAAAAACTATGATGCTCCTGACCAAGATCCAAGACTAAGAATCCAGGACTTTAAAAAAGAAATAAAGCAGAATCCCAGTTACCCCATAAAAAGACTGTCTCAGTCCTATGTTGATACACTTCCTCCCGAGAAAGAGACAGCATAAACTTAGAGCACTGGCAAAGACACTGCACGTAACTCACAGCCATTCCTGCTTGTGTCCGCAGCCCATGATGAGAAAAATAATATTGCTGAACTGCTGGTATTGATAGCGATTTCAAAATACTGACCACCAGTATAGAGGCTCTGCTTTATGTAGACTTAAATTAATGTGAGATATGTACCTTCATATTCATAAATCTGGATGTTTCCTTCATATATTAAACTATTAATAAGCATCAAAAAAAAAAATACTGACTGCCTTAGCTACCCCTAAACACTTGCGGAGGTTTATCAGAATCTGCACATCCCTTAAGAATATACTGCATATGTGAATGCCATCTGGATTATGATTATGGCCAGGACAAAAATTGATAAGTGAAAGGTGGGACAAGATCTAGAGCAACTCCACAGAGACCACCCGCCTACTTCTCTAGAAAGCAAAAGAGCTAGGCCCAGTGGGTTTGCATGACTTGCTGGATAACAGATTGGTGAGTGAAAGATCTGGAGCCAAGCCATGGGCTGGGAGTGGGCCACCTGCTCACCACCCACCTCCCTTACTCTACTTCCTTCACCAGCTTCCAGGCACTCAGGTCCACCACACGCAGATGTCTGTTCACTCAAATACCTTCGTGCAATTCCACTGAAGAGGGCGGTATAGACATGATTGGTGAAATGAGGATGCTGCTTCATGGTCCAGGGCGGGCCGTGGTCCAGACCCCACCTCGGCCTCCCAGACTGATTCACTCTTCTCCTGAGGACCCTGAGTCAGGAGAGGTCCCTGCCCATGGGATGAGTCACCCTGGACTTTCCAGGAAAGAATAACCTCCACCCCACTTTCTATCACTCTCTATCCCAGCAGTGGTTCTCAAGGTTAAAGAACCTGCTCATACTACAGTTGAGTAGCTGAGCAGGGAGCCAGGTGAATTACTCTGACTACTACACACTCTATGTGGCGCATGCTGGCCTTCTCTTTGCACAGGGACAGGCTGGGGTTTCATGGCAAAGAGGCCACAGTCCCTGACCTCAGGAAGTGACAGAAAGAACACTGAGCCCCGGACACAAGAGACCAAGCCAGTATCAAGCCAGCCCATGTCCTGAAGCTCCCAGCTAAAGTTCTCTCTCGGGAGAGAGAGCAAAATCCACTGTCTGAGTGAAGACCACTTGCAGACAGAGACCGTGACTCCAACAGCTCTGTCCTTCCCCAGTGCTGCTGTTCACGGGAAGCCCCTCCAGCCCTGTCTTGCTTCCCTTTTCCAAAGAGCAGAAGAGCAGGCAACCTTCAGCCAGTGACCTGTAATGGGCTCTGCCTTGCGGGGATCTGGGCAGAGAAGTGGCAGGCATTTGGGGGAAAGAACAGAGCTGGCAGTGTGAGATGTCCCTGCAGTGTCCGCTTTGTGATGCCCTGTGGAGGGGTTAGAAAAATAAAGACAGATGGCAATGCTACCTCCCCATCTGTCCGCACCAAGGTAGAGGCGACATCCCAAAATGAGCAAAGGGACTTCATATGATGCTCACGCCATCCCAGAGTTGCACAACAAGTCTGGCCTGGAAAGAGTGTTAGGATATTTGCTTGAAATTTTTCTTTTCTTTTCCATGGTACTGTTAGATCTTACTAATACTGCTATGTATTTTTTCCCAGTTCTCTAACCCATGTAGTTACCCAGTGAGTATTGTTTAAATGAATGAAGGTCACAATTTGAAGACAGCTTTTAGTGTCAGGAATTCAAGGAGGAAGGAAACACAGGAGCTCCTGGCTTTCTCATTGTGATGCTGTTCACCGTGGCCTGCACTAACTCAGCTTCCTTGGGCCCTCTACAGAAAGCTATTTAATGGGAGTGAAACAAAGTATCAAATGTGATACTTTGATGGGAAAAGCAGAAGTGGGTAGGCTGCAACAGAATAACCTCAGGGCAGTGGAGGCCATGGTGGGAAACTGAGGATGTCCTCAGAGCATCACAGGGGCAAACGACAGCCCTTCCCTCACATCCTGTCCTGACACCCATGAAAAGAACACGGGGCTTACCAGAAGTGTGACAGATCCATGCAAGTCTCTAACGCCAGTCAGGGCCATTGACATGGTTCTGTTTTCACAATGGACATAGAAATTGTAAATTGTATCTTTTCACTCTAGAGAGAGGAAGAACTAGTCACAAAGGTTGTCCTTGTCCCTCTGACCCCAAGCATCATTTTCCCACAATATGGATGCTTTAAGATCTGCCCAGGATAGTTGCCCAGCACCACATAGAAAGGAAGCAGGTAAGGGACAGTCAGGTCACAGGCCCTGGGGAGCAGGGATTGTTGGTTATTCTTGCTGTCCAGAAATCAGCAGGAAAGGAAACAGACAGAGCTTCTGCTTTTTAAGGGATCCTGTCTCCTGGACCCCATGATTGGAAACACAGTGGCAAAAGAAGTGTTGAGGAATTTCTATCCCACCAGCATGCCTGGTTCACACCTCCTGTCAGGGACTTCCCATGTTTCTCTATGCATGGAGAAATGGGAGCCCAGTGAGTCCCCAGCTCACCTCCAGTCTGTGTCGTGATGCTTCTTGTAATGACACTGGCCCAGGTATTTTGGATGCCAGGTCCAGGACACCCTGTCATCCCTGCTTGCTCACCACTGCAGTGTCTGGGTACACTTGGCCACATACTAGTGAGGTCATCCCAGACATGGAACTGGTAGGTGAGGGATCAAGGGCATCGGTCTTCCAGGGAGGGATGGAAGCTCCAGGGCTAAAGGGTGCATCTTTGAGATGGGAGCCCTGTGATGTCGCTGTAACTGGCTGGCAGGAAAGAAAGAGCTCGGTGCTCTTCTTGGATGATTCAAAAAATATCAGTGCTGGTCATGAGTGAGGTCTGCACCCTAGATCATACCAGGTCTCTGGGGCATCAGTTCTGGTTCCAGGAACCTGTTGTCTGCAGCGGCTGCCTGCCTGCCTTCCCCAGAAAGGTTGTTCTCTGTCTGTCTGTCTGTCTGTCTGTCTCTCTCTCTCTCTCTCTCTCTCTCTCTCTCTCTCTCTCTATCTCTATCTCTATCTCTATCTCTATCTCTGTCTGTCTATCTTTCTTTCTGTCTCTCTCTCTCCAATCAGCCAGTTGACATTTAGCTGGCATTCCTACTGCATAATGAAATGGTCACAGCCAGCCATGCACCCAAGTAAAGAGGCTTATTTTGCATGATCAGGCGCAATTCATTAGGACAAGGACAGGCTTCTGGGCCATTCTGAGGGGCAAAGCTCTTCATCTGTTCCCAGCCTGGCCATGTGTTCCTGACATGCAAGAGTGTGTCAGTAGGCACCGACTTGCCTCTCATTACTAGCATGGCTGTAGCCATTGTGTCCTTAGGGTGATGTTCATAGTTCTTCTCTGTAAGCTAGGTGCTCCTGGCCCACCTATCATGTGAGAGTGTGGGACATGGGTAGAGTACCTATGTATAGGAGTTTGTGAGTATATTAGTCACTTTGTTGTCACTAGGAGGAAATATCCAACCCTTGCCCCTTATAAGAGGAGAGGTGTATTTTGGCTTATGGTTCAGAGGGTTCAGTCCATGGTTGATGGCTTAACGGCAGAAAAAGCATGATGATGATGATGGTGGTGGTGGTGGTGGTGGTGGTGGTGGTGGTGGTGGTGGTGGTGGTAGTGAAAAGGCCCAGCAGAGGAAAGGTGTTCACTGCACAGGAAGCAGAGAGAGAAAGGAGGAGCTGGAGACAAGAGTGTACCTACCCTTCCAGGCCACACTTCAGTGACCTACTTCCACCCAGCCCTCACCTCCTCACACAGCACATGCAGTGAGGGATTCATTACTTGATGAATCCACAGATGAGTGTAGCACCCCATGATCCAGTCACCTTCCAGAGCCCCATCTCTGAATGATGAGACTTTGAGGGACAGTTTAAATCCATAACAATGAACAAACCCAGCAGGGTAGGGTGGCCCAGACATGGTGTCTCCTGGGTTAAAAAGGATCAGTTACCTCCAGCTCAGCCCATTTAGCCTTGGCAGACATCAGAGAGGCCTTGGAGCTATTTCCCAAACTACAGGGGCTCTCTGGTTCCCCAAAATATTTTTACTTAATCCCCTAAAATGTATCCAGAGGAGAAAGAGTGCATAGATCAATGGCTTTGAGAATGTTCAGGGAAAGATCAGAAAACACCTTTTTATGGCCATCAGAAGGGTGATCCCCATTGGTCCTACAGACCTTTCCCTTCCCCTGCCCTAGGATTTGGTTGATTTTGCTCTGCAGGACTATTTAACTGACAGTTTAATAGCGCAGGTGGTAGACACATAGCTGTGCAAGATGGAACCCAAATGTCCAGAGAATGTTCCAGGAGCAGTACTAAGGTTTCCACTTCGGTTTCACTTAGCAATTAGCCACTTGGAGTTTAGTTTGTGGGCAGCCCCTTCATAGGCAGCATAAGTCAGCTCAGGATTTTTGCTTAGCAGTGGAGTTGTGCCTTTAAAAGATAATCACCATTAAGCAGGGACCTTGGGAGGTTTTCCTCCATCTTACTCTTCTGGCTTTTATGTGGTTAGAGAGCTCCGTAACTGCTTGGTGCAAAAGTGTTTTGTGGGATGGGGATATAGCTCAGCAGTATAGAGCCTACCTGGCAAGCGTGAGGTCCTGCGTTCCATTCCCAGTACAAAAAAAAGAAAGTGATTTTGTGTCATCAAGAAAATAAAACAGTGAGGGTAGCAAGGCCAGTGTTCACAGGGAGTTGGTGCCGCCTCTACCAGCAGCAGAAGGCCGGCAGTAGACACCCAAATCACCTTCTATGCCAATGCTGCTGTCACACTCCAAACACACAGTAAATATAAAACCTGGATACTCCGCTGGCATGGTGGCGCATGCCTATAATTCCAGCACTCTAGGACGCTGAGGCAGGGTGATTACAAGTTTGAACCTGGGCTCAGTTTAGTGACTTACTAAGATTCTGTCTCAAAATGTAATACATAAATAAGCAAGCAAACAACAAAAGGCTGGTGATGTCATGCAAGGTGAAGGGTTCGATCCCCAGCACTACGGTAAAAGGAAAATAAATTAACCACCTTTAGCCAGGTTTGGTAGCGCAACCTATAGTATCAGTTCCTGAGGATGGCGAGGCAACACAACAGTAACTCAAGTTCAAGATCAGCTTGGGCAATTTAGCAAGACTAGTTCAAGATAAAACCGGAAAACAATGACCAAAAAAGTAGTTGAGTGCTTCCTAGGTTCAATCATCAGTCCTGAAGTTAAGCCACCTTCAAACTTTGATACATTTTGAAAAAGAGAATGACAATGTACAGTTATGAGTTTCCTTAAAATTGAGAACAGTATGAAGAAAGGCAGTGGATAAAAATTGAGACCAGTGGCTGTCCCAGGGCCCTTATCCTGTCCTCTCTCCCCATATCATTTCTGCCCTGATCCAGCCTTAAAGTAAGCGACTTGCCACTTTGTCTGGAGTAGGATCTATGCTGCGTTCCCCAGGGCTGCCATGGCCAAGTAGCACATGCTGGAGGCTTAGGAGGACAGAAATACATTCTCCCATCATTCTGTAGTCTAAAGTCCAAAATCAGTGAGCCAGGCTCCCACTGAAAGCTCAGATAAAGTACTTCCCGTCCCCTCCTCTGTGCACTAGAATGCTCAGCAGCTCTAGAAGCATACATAGCTGGTCTCTCCAGTCTCCCTGTGTGTGCTAGTGTCCCCTCCTTCTGACAAGGACCCCAGTCCTCCTAGTCCAGTATCACCTTATCTCAACTAATTATATCTGCAAAAGCCATGTTTTAAAATAACGTTACAAACTAGGCATAGTGATGCGTATCTGTAATCGCAGCACTTGGAAGGCTGAGGCAGAAGGACCACTGTGAGCTGGAGACCATTCTGGACTACATAGTGAGTCCTAGGCCAGCCTGAACTGCATAGCGAGACTCAGTCTCAAAAAACCAACAATAACAACAATAAATACAGTCTGAGGGGCACTACTCAACGCACTTCGAAATCACTGGGCAAATTTGGAATTTTAAGGACTCAGAATAGAAAACATCTCCCTACCATAGTTCTATTCAGGTTCTATCCTGACGACAGGCAGGTTAGAGCCTGCAGAACAAATGGAAGCCTTGGAGAATTCTGTAATTATCCCTTAGGGTAATGCATGTGAGCATCTTAATTCATGTTTGGTGTGTTCTGAAAATGTGCTCAGCTATGGAAAAAAATGAGCAATAGTATTATTCATCAATGCCAAAAAGTTCTAGCATCTCAATTTACATCTCGCCTCTTTTTTTTGTAAGCAAAACTCAAAAATAATCTTTATTTCAATTATCACACTGATGATGACAGCATATTCTATTCACAAGTATTGTTTACATTGACAGCACATGTGTTTTGTTTTCCTGTCTGCTTTAGTAGGACATATTTGACATCTTACTGGTCTTCCTGTTTGCTTACGAGGGTCTTGTGATGTTTCATCTGTCTATTCATCAGTCTGCTCCAGAATTCTTTTTTTTTCCATAATTTTATTGAGAAACAAATAGCAATGAGACAGTTTCAAACCAAATTGGTAGGACAGTTTCAATAATTAACACATTGCATACATTTGTCCTAGTGGTTAATTGCTGTACAAGATGCTGACTTGATATCCTATTTACAAACACAATTAGAACAAATCATTCTCTTCATTAAGAGAATGTAACTATATATCTATCCTAACCACTCATCTAGCCTTTTAAACAAGCTGATGAAGATGGATGGATGGATGGATGGATGGATGGATGGATGGATGGATGGATGGATAGGTGGGTGGGTAGGTGGGTGGATGCATGGATGGATGAATGAATAGATGGGAGGGAGGGTGGATAGATGGATGGATGATGGATGGATAGATAGATTGATAGAAATTTAACATAACTTTTGATGATGTATTCAAATAATTTTGTATATTCCTTATTTCTGTTCTTTTCTACACCCACTGAAAAGTAAATCAATCACCTTAAATTCAAAACTGTCTGCCTGAGGTACAATACTTACAGTACTTTCAGCTCCCTCAGGGTCGCTCTTTGACTTCAATGCTTGATTTTATAGCTAATACTAGCCCTTTGTATTTTTTGTTGAACTTCCATGAAATAAGAAACAGAACTATAATTAAAAATCAAAATAGCCTTTATAGGGTGCAACAACTATTACATAGAGAAAGACAATGATACGAAACAGAATTATTGATAAATAACGTTGCTGTGGCATAGCACAGCATAGGAATATGTTAGAACACACACAGAAGTCCAAACTTAGTGTGCAGAGTGCAGAACTGTAAGTAGAATATAGTGTAGACACAGAACATAACTTCCTTTCTCCATGAGATGCTGTTTCCTTAATGAGATATATGTGCCAAGTCTTAAAGACCAAGTTTCAGAGCTCAAAGCTAAAAATATATTGTAAGCAACACCAGAGCCCTTTGGCTTCTTTCTGTGTAAGTCAAGGTAAGTGATCCTGTCCTGCAGGGACAATAGCCCCTAAATCTTAGCAGCATCAAGTACTTCCTTCTCACCCAAGCTGCAGGGATCACGGTGGGACTAGGCTCAATGCTGACATGAGTGGAACAGCTGACTGCAAGATTGCTCACGGCAAAGGAAGGAGACAAAAGGAAAGAACATTCTAGGGGCTTGCACGCCACCAGGCCTGACCCACCTCGGTTCTGTTCATGATCCATTGGCCAAAGTAGTCACATGGTCCATCCAACCACAAGAGAAGCAGAAAGTGGCATTGGCCATGGGCAAGAAAGTCAGAGAACCAGGAAGATTGTCTAAATTAGTACTCATAACCAGCCACAGTGTGCATGTGCAGATGCACTTGCATGTGCTTCTGTGTGCTGTATCTTGTATTTGCATGCTACATATATTTTCCTACATCCTGTATCCTTGGAATAAATGCAGACATGTTCTGTTCCTTCTCCCACAGGAAGGCCGACACTGTTCCAGAAATGACCACTCCAGAGCAGCTCTACTCCAGCGTCATGGCGACGCTTGAGCACCTCAACTCCTATTTACCCAAGGGCAGCCACGTGGTTTTATCTGGCCTGCCGAATGGAACCTTTCTCTGGGATCATATGCATGACAGATATCATCCTCTCGGTACCCATTTGCAGATGCCTTACAGTGTCCCTGTGCATGTGGTTCGATGGACGCAGAGCCCTTTCGGGAACATGCCCAAGGCACATCGCAGGATGTGGGTCAGAGGCACAAGAAGCGGGGGGACTACCAGGTGCAGACCTGAGGTCATTCCCCACACACACGTGCGCAGAGCACAGCCCAGAGACAGAAAGGGAACAACAGCTCAGGAAATCCCTTAATGAACACAGTGTACAGAAGACAAAAGTCTAGGTCCAAAGAGAGATCACCCTCGGTGTTCAGGCCTTCCCCAGTGGCCACTTAGAGCCCGACTGCACTCGGTCCTACAGGCAGATGGTTCCCTGCATCTATATCCTGCAGGTCCCTGAGTCCAAAAGCCTTTAAACCTTCCACAGAAACTTTCTAACAGCAGCTCTGCTTCTCCAGAGCATGTACAAAAATGTCAACACAGTAGCTTCTTGCATTAGGAATGGCTGCCATACCAATCCTGAAAGCAACCCTGTGAGATCAGTGTTTTCATTAACCAAAATCCTAGGGCTCAGACCAGTTAGGTAGCTTTCAAGTGGTGTACAGCTAGTTCATTGTATGCAAAAGTTGGGTGTGTAGGGCCATGTTTTCTGTACCCCAGAAGGCCCGTCTGTCCTTTCCAAACGTGTGTGTGTGTGTGTGTGTGTGTGTGTGTGTGTGTGGTACTGGGGATCGAACTCAGGACCTTGTACATGCCAGTCAGGTGCTTGTGCCACTGAGCTGTCTCCCCAGCCAATCAGAACTATTTATTAAGTGCCCACTGTGTGACAGGCAGTGTTCCAGCCAGCAGTGAGCACAACCATCCAAATCCCTGCCTGGGCTTAGTTACACTGGAAATGACTCCAAGGGTAACAGTGACCCAGGAGGAAGATGGAGAGAGCTGGCCTTGTCCTTCCCTGGCTAAGCCCATCTCTCCAGCACCTCCCTCAGGAAACAGCACCCTGCTCTTAAGAGAGCAGGGAACCTTCAACCAGCTTTCCAAAGGTGCTGCTCGCTTCCCTGGTGAGGACAGAGTAAAGATCAACAGACTCCTCCACGGAGGATGCAGGCTGTATCTGGTAACAAAATGTCTCACAAATATTATTACTGAAGCAGATACTGTCCCAACTTGCTAGGACAGCATGTTCCTCCTGTTTGGGCCCTGTGATTGTAGCCCCAGAAAACCATCGTGGGCTAGCTCACAGGAGAGCCCAGTTCATTCCCTGCATGCTCATAAGCTCAACCGTGGAAGCTAAGGGTGTCTCTTTGTCTCAGGTGTATGGAATTAGAATTCCTAATTACTACATTTTTCTCAGGCCAAACCATCCCTGAAGAAGGCAAGTTGGGGGTGGGGAGGAACAGGACAGTGTGATTCAATTTATTTCTTCCCTGCTAGCAGGACTTGCGGTGTGATTTTGGGTCCTTTTCTCATTTCAAGCCCCATTCTTCCCACACACCCCACTGAGCCTGCCACCATAAATCCTGTCACAGATGCCATGCACTGCCTGATTTAAGAGCAGTCGATATAACAAGGGCTCTGTGCCCCTTGGGAAGGCGTGAGCAGAGGGGAAAGGGTAAGAAAGTCAGCATCTACTTCTGAGTGTTCTCTAGGCACAGATTCTCAGAGGGACAAACGCCATCCAGCCCTCTTCACCCCAGGATGCCAAGGCCCTGATGGCAGAGTCCCAGGTAGCTGCTAACACCCCACAATGTGCAGGATGGCGCCCTGTGCACAGCCCGTTCACAGTGCAAAAGGGGAATAAGAAGAAATAGGATAAATCTGTCCAATAGAACCCCTAGTTTGGAGGGAAAATTCCAATTAGAGAAAAAGTAGAAGCCATCGAAATTTGTTTAATGTTTCTGTAATTATTCATATCCCAAATTAACCCTGCTGCCTGGTTGCCATGGGAAATAAAAGATAAATTTCTTGAGGAAATATCAAGGTCCTTTCTAGAAAGACTTTGAGGGGAGGGTGGGCACGTAGCCTCCGCAGTGCCTCGGGGCTCCTCTTGGCAACTTGCAAAGGAGACACATTCTGTCTCCTCAACTGCGTCCCTAAACCCAGCCTCTTGTGTGTTCCACTCCCATGGGAAGGAGCCCACTGTGACGCAAGATTCCTAAGCTGGACCAGTCCCTGGGCTTAATGGGGTAGATTTCATCCTAACCAAGAGCCAGACCCTAGAGCCCAGCACCCAGGGACCTGTGCCAGGTCACAGGATGGGAAGGGCAGCTCTGTTTATTTCCATATTTGAACCCAGAATAAAAGTGGTGGCAAGACACGTGAACGTGGCTGTCCACCACACAAAGGCTAGGGAAGAGGTTGGGGGCAGAGGGCTGCGGGAGAGCCCGCAGTCAGTGATATATTTTCTGTCCCCTCCCTTCCCTTCATGGGACAACAGAATATAGCCGAGTCCTTAGCAAAGAAGAGAATAAATGTCACAGCACCAGACGGACAGGGAGTGAAGGTCTAGAAGGAGAGCAGGTCCACCTCCCCACTTTGCCAGGCAGAGGAAACGTGGATCCTCTCTTCCTCGGCCATGCTGAGTCACTTCCAGCCACAGGTGTCACCAACTGCTGGGGCAATCCTGTGGCTGCTGCCAGGAATGAAGATTACCAATGGGCGTTCCTGTCATTCTGAGGAAATGCCACGTAGCAAGTGCCAGGTGTTACAACTCTCCTGCATGGATCTGTGGAGAAAAGTCAATCCTGATGAGTCTGGGCTCCCCAGAGCCACAGTATCCAAGGACAGCAGGCATTCCAGAAAGGGGCCTGAAGTGCCCGTTCTGTGCTTCTGGATACAGAGGACGTAAGATGGCATCCTTATCCTCAGCTGGTAGGGAAAACACAGCTTCACCTGGAAAACAGCATGTAAATCCTGATAATGAAAGTGCTAAATACCAAGGACAATGGTGTGGGCCACTGGCATTCTGGGAGTTGCATGAAGGGTTACACCATGGTACCAAAAAAAGAAAAAAGCTTGGTGTGGTAGTTCATGCCTGTAATCCTAGGTTCTGGGGAGCCTGAGACAGGAGGATCGTGAGTTAGAGGCCATCCTGGGATGTGTAATGAGACCTTTGTGGAATGGAAAGGAAGGGAAGGG